TTAAAAAAATAAAATTTAAACTTATCTATTAAATTTAATTTATATAATAAAAATTTAAAAATAAAATAAAATTTTACTTATATTTATTTATTTATAATATTTTAATTATATTTTATTTAAAACAGGACGAATCTTAATTTTTTTTATTTAAAATTTAAATAAAACTAAAAATTATATCCTAAATCATTTAATGATTTTTTATATTTTATTCAAATCTTTTAAAATTTGGAATAACCTTTGAATTTGAAGGGATAACTCAGACCTTTGGACGTGGACCCTAGTGAAATAATTTCACGTCATGATTTACTATCATAAAAAGGGGTTAGAAATAATTGAAACACCACCCTTTGTACGATGGGCCTTTAAAGAGAAAGTGATTGGAGAAATTAAAATTTTCTGATACTGTCCTTCTTAGTTGTGCGCACATCCAAAAGTAAATATCTATCCTTGGATCCCCACTTCACAATCATATCACATGAATCATTGCCATCAGACGGTGGAGATTTCTTCTCATGCAAAAACAAATGCTTTGACTGACACATTGACATCATTGAGGCTAAACATTTTTTTATTGCATCAAAATCTTTGAAAAGATTTCATCACATAACAGAACAGGGATGTCGCAGAAGAAAATAAATAAAAAAACTAACAGAGTTGGGGCAGTGGTACTTTTAGATTTTAAAATATTTATTACTGACTCTGGCAGTCAAAATCTTGGTAATTTCTATTTTCATTTGGGTGGACCAATATATTTTTTACTGCACCACAATATTCTTTTAGGTAAAGTTCTGAGTTACCATGTTCAAAATCTAAAAAAGGTAACTTTTTCCTGCTACATGCCATCCTACTCTCATTTGGAGTCAGAAATAATAAATGCTAACATTTGCATTTGCTTTCATATGGAAAAAGTTAGGTTAGTTTTAGTCATTAAGCATAAAAAATTTTTGAATTAAAATTAAATAATTATTTTTTATATAATATTAAAATTTTAAATATTTGTTTTTATTAAATAAAAATTAATTATTAATATTTATTTTCATCAAATCAAAGATTTAAATAAATAAAAATAAATGTTAAAAAATTAAATTAGATAAAAATAAATATTCAAAAACTCAATTAAATAAAAATAAATATTTAAAATTTTAATTAATTACAATAAAATAAAAAATTTTAAATAATTATTTAATTTTTGTTCAAATATTTTTTTCATACTTAAGCATTTGTTTTTAAACATGAGGTTCAGAGTTGTTAATAAATTGTTGCATTGGTTTGATTTTTTTACATGAAAGTATTACAAAACTTAGGATTTGCTATAAATCCCATTTTATTTTTATATATTCGAGATAAATTAAAGTGATTATAAGAATAAGTAATTGTCATTAAATTATACCACACATGATTTTTATGATATATTTTTAATTTATAATTTTTAAGTCATAATTTTTAAAAAATATTTTGAATTCATTTATTTCGTTGTTTCGTCAACACTAGTTAAAATGTGACCAATTTTGACGTTCATATTGATGTTTGCATTAAAAAAAATGAGCTCCTTGGATTTTTTTTGTTGAAATTTATGTTACTCTGACAGTCAGGTAGCGCTTATTTGACATATTACGTTAAAATATTAATGATAGTTAATGAGATGGGTGGATTTAAAACAATTTTTAAAAGTAATGGATTAAAATTTAAAATTTTGAAAATAAAATATTACAAAAATGTCATTGATTTATTAATTTTATTTAAGTATTCTTTAAAAAAAAAAGTTTTAAGTATTCCATATATGAAACACATACTACTCAAATGTTATCATTGAAATTTGTTTCCTGTTGTAAAATACTAAATGTTCAATTTAATCCTAACGTTTAAAGGGATGTTCAATTTAACATCTGATTTTTTAATTTTAATAAATCGACTTAATTTATTTGAGATTTAACAATTAAAAATTTTTATAAAAGAAATATGGGATGTGTAATACATGCAAGTTAGTTTCCGTGAATAATAATGATATTTTATTGATTACATGTAATTTTCATTTGATGTGGATAATGATTTCATTTATTTATTTATTTGTTAAAATGCCTTAAAACCTACTTGGTTAATTATCTCAAAAATCTGATTTCGGGAAAATCATTCTCACTCTATTTCTTAAACCCAGAATTGATTTATCCAAAATCTATCCAGAATGAAATCAGGCAAATTGAGACTTGAGATATTATATGGTTGTAAAAGAATTTGAATAATTTCTGATAATAGAAAATAAATTCTTGAATCTTCTGTGCAAAAAAAAAAAATTTTTGGTGAAATTTCCTGACGGTCAATGATTGGGTCAAGGTTGCTCGGAAGAACGGAATGAGATGAAAAATGGTTGGCATACTTACTTGAGCAAACGTTTAGGCACAATTAAGTGCCAAAAAGTGAAGCTTTCCAAATATCCAATGTTGAAACCGAACGGAAGAGCTCATCCGAAATTGATCTCCCACCAGCCAATGCTACAAAAAGCATCAAATTCATAAAGCTCTAGCGAAATCCTTCTCCCCAGAATTTTCTATATAGGTTACCTTCATTAAGCTCCCTCCAACCTTTATGCCAAAGTCGATTAGAACCAAACCATTGAGGAAACCATTGGTTCATCTGAAACATTTGGAGAGCTTCGAATCATATTAGAGAGCAGCCATTCAATGCAGAAGGATCATATGCAAAGCTTGGAGTTTCTGCGGTCAGCTCTAAAGCTGGTATGGTTCCAGTATTAGGGTTGGAAGAAATCCTCAGCTTCAAAATTCCTGACCAACAAACGAATCCTTTAGCTTAATCAAGAAAATTGAAGGAGGAAAGAAAGGGTTCTTTAATGGAAAGAGAGAATTTTTATATTTATTTAATTTTTAATTAATTTTTCTTCAAAAAAATTATTTACATGTATATATTCTATTTGGCATATTATTTGTATTATTTGATAGGGATAATAGTCACTTAACAAAACTAATGGCTCATGTAATACATCTTAATTTGTTAAAATTAAAAAAAATTAAATCATGAATTGAGTAACCTTTCAAACATTAGAGATCAAATTGATCATTTAGTGGTTATAAAATATATGAGTTTGGTGTTTTTTTTCCTTGCCAATTTCTACTTTTTTTTTTATAGATTAAATTGCTATGAGTTAGAAGTTTATCGGTTAAAATTAAAAATAGCAAGTTGATGTTGAATTTGCCAACTTGGTTACAATTTTTTTTTTCCTTTTTGCACAACACTCACATATACCATTGTATTTGTAAACCAATTCATACAAAAAAGTACATAAACATAGAAACATAATAGGAGTACTAATTACTAGTATAATCTAACCACCATTTACTAGAAAAGGAAAAATCATGATTGAATTTCTATTTTTAGGAAATATATATATATATTTTAAGAAAATATATCTTAAGAAGTTCAAAATTGTTTGTTAGATTGACAAAATCCATTTTTCAAAAGAATGATAAAATTTTTGTCTTTGATTTCGTAATGTGAAATTATTTTGAATAATTTCCATTTTTATAAAAATAGATTACAAATGATTGCAATGCAATTAAAAATAATTAATAAATTCAAATTTTAATTTAATTTAATTTAATTATTTTAAATAATTATGTAAAAAATATTTAGTAAGTTAATAATTAAAATCTTAACATTTGAATTTTTTTATTTCCACACCGTGATTTTTATTATTAAAAAGTAATAAAAAAAACTAAATCAGCTAAGCTATGATTAGCATATGATAAAAACATATCTATATATATAATTAAATTCAATAAAATTCTTTGCTTTCTTTTGTTGGATTTGAAGAAGAAGATTCCAATTCTTTTTAAAGAGGAGAGCAATAGATGCAGCAATATATGCAGGCAATGAATTGTGCCTCCTTCGACCATAGCCCGAAAAATAATTGGGAGCTAATGGACCGCAGGATGTTATCAAAATCCATCACACGGTGCGTTAGCTCTAAGAAAGAGATTGCATTCCACTCCATCCAAAAGTACAATGAAATCTAAATGGTCCATTGCACTAATCAACTCATGGAATTAGATCGGTTATTAAACCGGATTTCACAATAAAATTTATAATTTTATTTTTGAAATATCTTGTAAGTGACAATCCCTTTTATTAATAATTCAAGATTTAATCACCAATAAGTAATTGATTAAATTAGTTAAGGTTCGTTTTCTTCGACGAAAAGATTTTGAGTTTAAATTTTGCTGATGATTATTTGTTGAGGTTATTTAGAATACACGACCTACAATCACTAATCACTTGTCTTAAGTTGTCAAATATGATACATTTTATCTCGATCTGAGAAATTAAACAATCTATCTACTTTAGATTTTACAAAATCAAAAAAATAATTCAAGATTGAACCACTTAATCAAATATTATTTTTATGAAAAATTATCAAATATAATAATAATGTAATTTTTAAATTTTATAAATGAGATTAATCAAATAACACACATTTCTTTAAATATATTAAAAAAATAAAAATAATTAAAAATATATTAATTTCTTAATTCAATTTGTAAATTTAAGAAGCTTTGCTTATAATGTATTAAATAAAATTTTTGTTATGTGATTATAAATATATATATTTTAATATTACATTTAAAGTTTAATTAATAAATAAATTGTGAAATAAAACATTAAAGAAATCGATTGAATCGAAAATTGGAGTTATATAGAACACGAGATTGAACAAATCATTGAAAAGAAAATTGAGTTTTCGATAAATTCCTAAAACAATTTGGTTATTAGAACATTGATATTTTGACAGCAAATCAATAAAAAGGGCTTTTTTTTTTATCACTTCGTTGAAACTCGAACTTATGAAAGCTTTTAGAGGTCGGCCAAAAAAAAAAGAAAGAAAAGAGGGAGAGATGAAGCCGAAGCTCGCTCCTCTTTCGCTTCAAAACCCTTCCCATTTCCCTAACCCACTCCCTTTCTCTCTTTCCGTCTGATTTTCATTTTTATTTTCATTTTTTATGTCTTTTTGAAAAGAAGACAAAGAAAAAAAGAAAAAGACATCGAAAACCCAAAAAACCCATAGACGCCACTTGCTTTTCACACTGTGTCTCTTTCTTCCCTTTTGCTGTCCCCTCTCTAAGTGAACAAAAAAAAAAAAAAACCAAACTCCACAGTTTCCTCAGGCACAAAATAAAACAAGAAAAGAAAAGAGAAGACTGAAAAAACCTCCATGGATCTTTGTGATACAACCAACGTTTTGTTCAGTAAAATCAAAAGTTTAGAACCAGAAAATGCTTCAAAAATCATGGGTTACATCCTTATCCAAGACTTAGCAGACAGGGATTTGTTGCGTTTAGCCCTTGGTCCTGAAACCCTTTTACAGTCCCTTGTTTTCAAGGCTAAAGCTCACTTAGGACTGTCTTCATGCACTTTCTCTACTCCTTTGAACCCAATCTCAAGACCCAACAGCTCCAACTCCAACTCAAACAATTCACAAAACCCACTTCCTCCATCATCTCCTAACCCCATTCCAAGAAATGGCTTCTTGGAATTTTCAAAGAGGGTGCCTTCTTGGTCTCCTGCTATTAGCCCAAAGTCAAGTCCTTTTCTTTCCTATGAAAATATCCGCACTGGGTCTGTCTTAGTTCCTCCAAGGACTGGGGATGATTTTATTGATGAGAATCAAATGAGTGATTATTTTTCATTCTTGAATGATTCTTCCTCTTCTAAGAATGAGGACTTTGCTGGTCATAGAAGGAGTTTTTCAGCAAGTGATGCATGTTTTGGGACAGCTGAAGAAGCAGGTGGATTTGGTGGTCTTGTGGGTGGTTACAAGCCTTGTCTTTATTTTGCTAGAGGGTTTTGTAAGAATGGTGATAATTGTAAGTTTTCACACGGTGTTGGTGGTGTAGCTGATAATGTTGATGTTAATACTGTTATTGTTGGTTCTCCTAGTAAAATGGACCCCTATCATCAACACGAGGAAATGATGAGAATGAGAGCAGCTGCTCATCAGCAAAGATTGGCTGCTGCTCATTTGATGGCTGGTGTTTCTTCTCCCCTGCCTTACGAAAAAAGCATGAATATCCTCTTGCAACAGCAAACTGATGCCCAGAGGTACAGTAAAGATTCCCCATTTTCGGTTCCTGCTGTCTTTAATTTTTTTTTTTTTTGGGTTGGCTATTCTTTGTTACGGCTCTTAATTTTTGTTCTAAACTTGGTCTACCTTGGTGTCTATGGGATCCACAAAGATTTCTGCATTAGGGCTTGTTTTGGTTTTACATAAAATTTGCCCAGAAATAAATTAGATATTGTCATTTCTTTCGTAGTTTTGCTGCTACAAATTGGTTTCTTTTTGTCATTATTTATTTATTTATTTTTGTGGTTTACACGTTTGCTGGTTGAATAGTAGAGACATCTTGGCTTTTGTCTTTGTTTGATGCTGTGATGCATCAAGTTCTTTAATTTGAGTTTAGCTCAGCGGTGGTTTTTTTTTTTTTTTTTTTAAATTAAGATAATTGTTGGAGTAATGGTTAGTTAAAAAACCATAGCATGGGTATTAACATAATTTTCTTTTATTTTTAAGTTTTTTCATTTGGCACACTTTGATGCTGCAGAGCTGCTGCATTGATGTTGAGTGAAGAAATTTGCAAGTTTGCCCAGGGCCGATCTGAGAGGAATGATTTGTTGTCCATGGGATTGGCAGAAAAGGCTAATTCAGCTTCAAAACAGATTTACCTGACTTTTCCAGCTGATAGTACATTTAAAGATGAAGATGTTTCAAACTACTTCAGGTATCTATTGCACTTCTAATCGGTCAGGCATTTTTTTCTCTGATTTTATATGCAGTTTATGATTTATCATAAGTCTCTATGAATGTTGTTGAGTGGATGCTTCATTTTGAATTATTTGTCCACCATACATTTGGTTTTGATATTGCGATTTACATCATAACCATTGCTATGGTACTGCTTTCGATAGTATGCAGTTTGACATCCTTACCGTGATGGTTAGCCGTTACCTTATTGGAGCCATGATCTCAAGGATTATATCAGTCAAACTGTTAACTGTATAAACTTAGTTCATTCTGATAATATACTTGATGGATGGAAAACCATGGTTGATTACATCTAGCTTTGAATCCTGTTGCCTTGTCTAGCTGTTGCATTAACTTTGATAGAGTCATCTTTATCTTCTTCTGAAAACCTACTATTTATATTTCAATACGCTACTTTTTTTTTTGGAGATATGCAATCATACTATACTTAAATTGCTAACCACTGATCATCTATAGTTAAATTTTTATCCCATTATACATTGTGTAATATTTGAAAGTATGTTAGAGTAACTATCCTAAACACTTTTTGATTGCTGTTCAACTCTTCAGGTAAGAAGGGGATAATCAATTAAATATGATCCATCTAGAAGCAAATGATCATATAAAGGACATGTCAAAATGTCAATAGTGCTTGCAACGATGAAAGGATTATACAAAAGATTGCAGGCATATTTCAAAGGAGTTCACATTTTTATATTCTATTTATGTTCTTATATTAATATTTACTGGTGGATAAAAGATTTTCAACTGGAGACCACTTGAAACTAACTCATTTGTTAATTTATGCAATCTTTAATTGTCTTATTTTTTTCTTTAGTGCCAGAGGATATATGGGAAGTTAAAGAATTGGGTAGTTTTTGCATTTTGGGTTGAAAGAGGAAAAATGGGTTACAAGATTTAGAAGTATGGAGAACCAGTCCACTTACTCCAAGGAGTGATCAACTGTTCAGCAAAAGTCAATTTTATATCACATCTAAAGGAGCAACATGCCAATGTTACCTGTGTCAATATCCCAGGAAAAAATTTCAAAAGAAATTCTGTTTTTCTTATGAAAAAGTAGAGGTTTAGGGAGGCTCGGGTTGTTTGTGGAATTGGTCAAACCTGCAACTAAGCTGTATAATAAGCCCGGCAGTGGTGAATGGACAAAATTGATGTTTCTGTGGATTGGAGATGGATTATTGCTGGATATGCGTGTTTGCAGAAGAAGCAGATTTGATAATTTATTTGAGAGACAAATGTGGTAATATGAATAGGGAGGTTGAATTGCTATACCATAGACATAGGGTTTTGACATTTTGAGTGACCTAGAAAATTGTTTTTTATTACAATAGAATACAATTTTGAGCAAAAGGAACCCTGTTTATATATCTACCTTTGCTTAACTGAGGCTTCCATTTAAATGTATGTTGTTGTCAGTTGCTTCATTTTTTTAATAGAAAATTCTAGAAAGGACTTACCAAAGTGGTTTTGTTTGTTATGAACTAAGGTTTATGAAATTCTTAAATTTTAAGTTTGTGAATTAACTTTAGTTCTCCTGTATCTTTTAAAGCATGTTTGGACCAGTGCAAGATGTGAGGATCCCGTACCAGCAGAAGCGAATGTTTGGTTTTGTTACTTTTGTCCATCCGGAGACTGTGAAGCTCATTTTGTCCAGAGGAAACCCCCATTACATTTGTGATTCACGTGTGCTTGTTAAGCCCTACAAGGAAAAAGGAAAAGTTCCTGACAAGTATGGTATCTTCTCTTGTTTTCTTTTTATCTTGATTCTTACCCTCATCTTGCGTTGATTTTACAACTGTTAATGGAACTATTGCAGGAGGCAACAACTGCAACAACAATTTGAGAGGGGGAACTTTTCTCCGTGTTCAAGCCCTTCAGGGCTTGACTCTAGAGAGCCATATGACCTTCATTTTGGTAAGAAAACAAACAAGCATGGCTTTTTGTGGGGCTTTCTATTCATGTTGTTTTTTGCTTGAAATGACATGAGGGGAACGGAATGTTTAAAATGAGTGTTGCTCTTGTTTTATTTTATTCTTACTTAAGATTTTGAGGTTCTTAATTTCTTTTTATATATAGGGGCAAAGATGTTCTACAATGCACAGGAGATGATGTTAAGAACAGAATTGGAAGAGCAAGCTGATCTCCAGCAAGCTATTGAACTGCAAAGGAGAAGGTTCATGAACTTGCAACTTCCAGACTTCAAGAATGCCGGTATTCATCATCACCACCGCAGCCTATCTGTTGGTGCTTCTGTTTCCTTGCCTGCTTATTCCCATACCAGCCTACATGGTCATCCATCTAACAGCATTAAACAAGAAGTCTCAGAAGGTTTGCTAATCAGCCTCAGTTCTATCTCAGATTATTATCTTTTTTTTTTTTTTTTTTTTGATTTGTGAATCTCGCTTTGGTGGTTGTGTGTGCGTGAGTATGTGGATAAGTTACCTTTTCCCCTGTTCTAAAAATGAAAATAAGACCAAAATCAGTTGGAAAAAGAACTTTTCTGTAGTGAAATTTATATAATTTCTTGTGGCATTCAATGGTGATAATACAGCTGCAGCTGTTTCCTTAACCATGAATGCTGCCGAGCAAGAAGAAGTGAATTCAGCTTGTGTTCAGAAAGGCGGAATTGGAAATATCCAAGAGTGTTCCAATCCCAAAGGGTATGATGTTTCACTTAACAAGAAGGAACTTAATTTTGAAATTTAGATAAAACTTCAACGAGTACAGATGCTTTATATCTTATTCAAATCTATTATGTACTGCTGTCTTATGAAGTTGATTGTCATTTAGTTGTCTTTCTCATTTGTTTTTATTTCCAATGAGAGCAGTGTAGAGCATGCACTTCCTGATAGCCCTTTTGCTTCCCCGAAAAAATCTACTGAAAACCACCTCTCGGAGTTTCCTGCTTTGATGGGAGTAAATGGAAGTCCTGCTTTATGTGCTACTTCATCTTCTGAAAATGATCCATTACTGCCCATAACTTCTACTAGCGACATGGCTTCCATTTAAGCTATCCTCTTCTTAATACCAAGGTACTATCACTGCTTTAACATTGTTGTAACTTGACCTCTCCTGCTACAATTACCAGAGTAGAAGGTATTTTATTGTAATTGAGATTTATTTACATTTTCTCAGGTTTTAAATGAACTGTAGGAACTAAAGGTAAGCATGGCCAGAACTCAGAAATGAGTAACTATAATTTATGAACTTATTTTTCTTGAATTCCAGTCAAATGGCGATCTATTAATGTTTTGATGTGATACTGATGCAGAAAAGTAGAGAAGCATATACAAGAAGAATCCCCCATATGTGTATAGCCAGCTTTATAAGTGAGGAGTAGATCTGTAGAGAATATCTCAACATGATCATCACCATCATCTTCTTCTTCAATACAATACCACTAACAGCAAATGCATATTGGATACATAAATGACAGATAAACTGATTTTTGAGCGTAGGGCTTTTCTCTTTTCTCCTTTCGCGGTAGGTGTGTATTCCAACAGACAAAAGCAGCAGAAACCCAGGATAGTTCATTATCATGTTGTCAATCTGTGCATCTTCTTTTACCCTATGTGATAATAACATTATGTAAAGCTGAATTATATGAATGCACTGAAGTAAGAAATGTGTACATTTATTTAGTATTAGTTTTGGACCTTCAAAAGGGAAATGCATTGAAGGCTGGAATTGAGGGGGAAAAGATCAGATCGTTAGAAGATGGGTGTGGTAATTGGTATATTATTTTATGTTTAACTTTATTAGCAGTTATATTAAAGTGAAGAATGCTGGGTATTGGAAAGTTGGTAGCAAAGCATTTCTCTTTTAGCTGTGCAGTATCTGTTACATGGGCACTTTGTCTCCATATTTTTAGGTCCACATGAAGATTGGTGGGTTAGAGGTCACTCTTATTCTTATCACATGGGGGCTTGACATTATAAAAAAAGGAATCAGGGTGTCACGGTCACAGCTCCTTTCCTTCTCATGTTTCTGGTCATGTAAATGTTTTATTTTTTGAATCTTTGCTTTATTTGCCGGAGCCAAAGATTTTCCAAGTTCTGAGTCTTTGGTGATGATGTTTGTACTCTTTAACTGCTTTTAGTTTTGCCTTCACCAGATATTTTCAAGTTAAAAAGGGAAAAAGGAAACGCGAAAGTAAAAGAGAACAAGTGTTTTTTTTTTTTTTTTAACCAAATAAAACCTGAGTACTTAAAGTAACGGTGCTGTGGAGGTTAAATTCATGAATGCCATTATGCATCAGCTTAATCAAGGGATGGTTTCTTTAACGGCAGACTAATGGAATCAAATTTTTTTTTTTTTTTTACACACCACGAAATATTGATATTTAGTAATATGATGGGAATTTTTATTTCATAGAAAAGGTCTTAATCCGTAATAAAGTGGTTTAAAACAACACATTACCAGCAAGTTTAGTTTGTATTTGTTGTATTGTTTTGTTTACGACATTCAGAAAAAATCGTTGGACCACTCTATATATTGAGTGGTCAGCACTCAGCATTGTTATGAAGTTATATATCTTCTACAGCTTCCATTCCACTGTGTCACGGTAGATATCTGTTAAAACAAGACTGCTCATGTTTTTTAAAAATTAATATTTCAAATGGTCGTTAAATTATAATAAAATATTTAATAAAATATTTAAATTTTTAAAAAATTAATGTATTATTTAAATTATAAATTTATTAATTAATGTGATATTTAAAGGATTATTTATTTATTATGTGTAATTCTTTGAAGTTAATCACTTTAGGTTTAGGATAAGTATTAAATTAATTAATAGGGTCATAAATAAAATATTATATGAGAGATTTTTAAAATTTATGTATTATATTAGATATTTTATTATTTCTTGAATTAATTGAACAATATGTAGTCTTACATTTTTTTTTATCTAAATAATCTTTTGAATAATTATTTAAGGATTTGAATAATTAATGTACTACTTTATCATAAATAATAATTGTGAAATATATTCATCATTAAGCGAGAATAATGATTCTAGATTATTATTTGAAAAATTAATATCAAAGATATTATCAATATTATGTATCATCATCTTAACAGATTTTTTGTTTGATTTTGGGTACTATTTGACATAATAGGCTACCTAACACTATTACACAATATTATAATGATAACGACTTAACAAAAAAGACTATAGATTTACGTATCTTTTTAAATGTTTTAATAACAAAATAAATAATTCAAAATTTTATATAACAAGACACTTAATCATTGCGGGTGTGTACAGGGTATAAATTTTATATAAATGTATCATCTTCGATAACGCGACATAAAGATTTTTTATTGATTGAATTTTATTGAAATTTCATAAATTAAAATTAAAATTAAATTAAATGAAGTCAAATTAATAAATAAAAAAAAAAAAAAAAGAAAAAAAATAAATAAAAATGAAGTAGAAAAACTCATATTTTAGATGAATAAATTTAAACTTGAAAAGGATCATTTTTTATTCTCGAAAAATGAAAGGTGAAGGGATTGATCAAGAAAAATTTCCTACTCTTATAATAAGATCGTGTGATTGGATGCGCAAATAAAACACAAATAAATCAAAATCAGCCAACACTTTGATAAAAATCCTATTAATCTTCACAATATTATTCTTAAAATCCAAGAAAAATGATTTTTGAGACCAAGAACTCACGACTGATTGATACTAACAATGATTATAATATTGCTTTTACCTAGAAAGAAGCAAAATGATAAGTCTGAAAGTACAATTCACAGACCTCTAAAACCAGCTCAGAAACGACAGCAATAAAATACGTACCAATATCTTTACTCCAGTAAAAATGGAAATGCATGACACTCCGTGTTCCACATATACATCAGCATCAAATCTCGAATCATTCTTCACACCCTTTCAATACCAACCAAAGACCAAGCCTCTTCCGGTATCCCCTAGAACAACAGTCTCTTCATTTGCCCAATCAAAAACCTTTCTTCACCCCTTTTTCAGAATAATTTCCCTTCGGAACAACAGAAAAATGGATTAACATATTCAAAGAAAAACAACATGTTAAACACAAGCCCAAGAGAATTGCGAAAGACCCACCTCTGACTTTGTCCATCTTATGGGTTTTTTGTCTTAAAAAAAATGACTGAAAACTAAAACATAACTTATGTGAGAGTTGCATGATGGAAGAAATTAATTGTCTATATTCTCCTAAACCAACTCACAAAACATATTAATACAATTTGCAAAGTGATATTGGAGTTGGAGTTAGAGCTCAAAGTAACGAATAATTTGTAACATTAATCCTTATTTTAATTGATAACTAGTGTGTAGTTATTGACGAAGTCAGAGATTAAATAATTTTTATTTTAAAATATTAAATTATTTAAAATTTTATTTAATAAAAATATATTTATTTAGTTCATTTGATTATTTGATTTTGACTATTTTTAATAAAAATATAATAATTAATGAATAACATATCTAGATTTTCTCAATTATTGTAATTATTTGAAATTAAAATTTATTTAATAAACATTTTTATTTAATTATTTAAAAAATTATTATATTTTATATATTTAATTATTATTTTTATTATTTAATTAATTAAATTATTTTTAATCTTACTTTTTTGACAAATTAATAGTTTGATATATGTAATTTATACACAAAATTAAATAAATAAATGGGTTGGCAAATATTTAAATGGTTATTGGGGGTTGCTTTTTACTATCACATCAAAATTTTATTATTTATATTTAAAATTATTTTATAATAAAGGGTAAAATATAATCTTTATATAATATGAAAGAGGTAAAATCAGAGTAAATAATAAGAATATATAGCTTATATTAAATCTGTCGTTTTTTGGATTTTGGTTGTCTGAAGCACTAAACTCTTAAAGCTTTAGCCAAAGCACCTTCAGAGCTGGAAACACTGCAGAAATAGCATGAGGAGAAAATACTAAAGATCCAAGAGCTCAAGAGACAAATCGAAGCTGTGAAGCTTCGCCTGGAGAAGAAGAAGGATATCCCAGATGAGAAAAAGGAAGCTTTCAATAACCTAAGCAAAAAATATAACAGCCTGAGAGAGGAATATAACGCATTGTTGGGGAAAGGTCAAGGGAGCAGAATTGAACAATCGCTTCAGTTTCTTCTTGCAAGTCAGGAACATGCTACCCTACCGACCTGTCATCTTATTTATCAGAAACTGCTATAATAAGCTCTCTCGTAAATATTTAATGTTTTGCTTGGTTCATCAGTTATGTTCAATTACTTTGTTTGCTAAACCAAAAAGACTTCAGTCATCTTTAATCATTAATAGCAACTATAATTTAATCAAAACTTCTGAATTCGCGTGCTGGTAGAAAACTGATTTCTTAGTTCAGATTAAAATTCAAATTCTCCCCAACTCAAATTAAAGAAAAAAACACTTATGAATCCAATTATATATTCTTTTAATAAAAGAAGTAAAAGAATAGATACAGAAGAATTAGCTATTACATGCACTAGGCCGACTAAACGCCTTTAGGAACTCTTTTTTCCTCAAGCATAGTACAAAAAAAAGTCGCTTCACGATCCCAAAAGCAGGAGTCACAACAAGGGCGGTTATCAACTATGTCTACGTCGTTTCTTTCTATCCAAGGATTGTGTTTTCTAGGCGGAATGTCATGCTCACAATTGCGGCCTACTACTTTTGCTTCGTTGAAAGAATTTTCTGTGGCCCAGCCAAAGAGACAAAGACCCACACATATCACTCAGGAACTTCTCTGTTTTGGAACGGCAGCTAGCAAACTTGAAACGCCTTTTGCTAGAAGCAATGAGATAGAGAGAAGACAAAACTTGAAGCCCTTGTTTCCGTAGCTCACCGCCCAAACAAATCAAGATAATGCCATAAGTATATATGGCTTCGACATGACCTTTTTCGACTACTTTCTTCAAGTAACGCAACCCTAAGTCTGTTTTCCTTCGGTTGAAACAATTTAACATTCCTATCCCATATAATGCTTCTGGATTCCCGGCTTCTTTGCAGAGCTTAAAGAAAACTTTCTCGCTTTTATACCCTGGGAAGAAGCTGTGTTTCTCCATTGAAACATTCTCAAAAATATGATCATAGTTTGATGCACCAAAAAAAGCCTTACAACTTAGCTTGAGATTGACGAAATCAGAAACTGAATTGGAGGCCGCATGCCTAAGAACCTCTGACAACATCTCCTCTGAAAGAGACTCAACAACGGTGTTGGCAGTTGTATTCATCATGGTTACATTAGAAAAAAAAAAAATATAAAAGAATTTTGGTTTTAAAGTGTGAAAAATTTTAAAGATAATTATATATTTATGATATAATAAAATCTCAAAATTTTTTAATTCAGAAGTAATGAAAATGTTTATTTTAAAATATTTATTTATAATGAATGAATATATATAAATTTTTATATAAATGATTATGATTTTTATATAATCATAATCTTTATAAATAATAATTTATTTATTTTTAAATAGTTATATGACTATTTATTATATGATAATTATTTCAAATTAAACATAATTATTTAAAATATGAATAAAATTAATATAAAAATTAATTTTATTTTTCAATAATTAAATATTTTTATCTAATGAAAGATATATCACATTTTAAACTACAAACAGATTATGACTCATAAAGGAGCTTGTTTGTTCTCAAATCAATCCATGCAATGCAATACTATTAGAAGAGGTAAAAAGAGAGTTTTTCTTTTTTCTTTTTTTTTGAGGAAACGTACAAAAATAATTTAGAAGAAAGCTATGTATATATAGGATGTAGGGAGGGGGATCAGACGCGGACTCCTTAATTGTTAAGGACTATGAAGAACAAATCATATATTTGGCAAGAAGTCATAATTCCTACCTCGACAAGGATTAACGCAACCTTCACTTTGCCTTCCACTTTTTGGCTTATTGATTAAAAAATCTTAAAAAAACGTATATTCTTTAAAATATATTAAAAAATTAATTAAAAAATGATATGTGATCAGCTGTCTATAAATCTCACTTATAAAGTTAAAAAATATAATTATTAGTGTATAAAAA